TGGCTGAGATGATGGGCTCAAGTATAGCAGGGATTGTGGGGCTGGCGCGGGATCAGGCAGTGTTTCGTTCTGCTGTGCATGGGGTCGCTATGGGTCGGAAACGACTCGACGGCACTTAACAACAACAACAACAACAACATAGCGCTCCCATAGGACAGAGGAGACCTGCCCCATAGAGTTTCTAAGGCTGTTATCTTTATGGAAGCCGACTGCTACATCTTTCTCTCATGGAGTGGCTCATTGGTTCAAACCACTGACCTTTTTTTGGTTAGCAACTGCGTGCTTAACCACTGTGTCACCAGGACTCCTGCCCCATCCTTAGGGACTGATAACAGGGCAATGAGAGGGGCTGAGGGGCAAAAAGAGAAGGAGTCCAGAAATGGAGCCATAGGAGGCTAAAGAGAAAGAAGGGGACCAGTCGTGTTGGGAAAGCCCAGGTGGCCAGGGCTTGGCATCCCCTGGGGGTGCCCCAAGGCCCAGGGGCCCAAGAAGACAAAGAGGTGGGGCTCTGGAACTGACCTGGGGGTGGGCATTGTGGGGGCACGGGTGTATCTGTGGCTGAGGCTGGGTTGGAGAGGGTGTAGGGATGAACTGGAAGCTGGAGGGTCGGGGGGGTCACCTGAGATCCAAGGTGGGCTTTTGGAAATGTCCTTTGACAAGTAAAAGGAATTGGAATTTCAGCCGACCGAGGCGGAACGTGCTAGGGGGGCTGAGGGAGAAGTGCAGGTCAGTGGGGAGGGGTGAGAGAGGAGGCCTGGGGTTGTTGTGGATGGTGAAGGCCCCAGGAGAGAGGCCAGGCCAGCTGTCCAGGGTCCCAGGTATGGGGGAATTAGGTGGCGTCCTGGGGATGTCGGGACCATCAGGAGTCTGTCTGAAACCCCTCCTCTATCCACATCCTGAACGGGCTGGGGGTTGCCTTCCTTTCTTCTGGGAGGGGTTTCCCTTGGTCGAGTTCCAGCCCCGTTATTGGAAACAGCTGGTGAATGGAGACAGGAAGTCATATCTGGGCCTCTGTGCACAGTGGTGGGAGGGGGCAGGGCGCAGCATGGCCATCTTTGGCCCATATGGAGGTTAGGGATGTGGTGTTCTGAGCCCAGAGCATTTGGGCACATACTGGGTCTCTCCCAAAATGTGGAGATTTGGTAGGGTCAGCTGTGTGGTCTGGGATGTGGCAAGCTCTCCAGCTGGATGTCCATGGGTTCCTTCCCAGGCCCAAAAGGAGAGGTGAGTCTGGGGAGCTTCTACATACCCTGAGCTTTTGGGGCTGGTATTCCTGCTCGCCCTTGGAGGTTGTTTGGAGAATGCTTTGGAGAGAAAAGGGTTTTGTAGGGTGAATAGGAGTTTGTTGGAAAAGAGGAGGAAAGGCATTTTAAGCAGGGGCACAGCTTGAGGGAAGGCTTGTCAGGAAGAAGTCTGGTATGTTTGGCACAGGGAGGTTGGGAGGGAGGCAGGGGAGGTATAGGGCTGCAGAGGGCTGTGGGGCCAGGGAGGCCACAGACCTCACACCTCACACAGCAACTCACACCCACTCTGCCCCGCAGACTACCGGACAGGGCCCTGCTTTGGCCACGTGGGTCCTGAGGGGTGTCAACACCAGCTGACTGGCCTTGTCTGCACCAAGTCGCTCTGCTGTGCCACTGTGGGCCATGCCTGGGGCCTCCCATGTGTGCTCTGTCCTCCTCAGCCACACCCCTGCCGCCGTGGCTTCATCCCCAATGTCCGAACAGGGGCCTGCCAAGGTGAGTGGTGGGGTCAGGGAGTGGGGATTGTGGCCCTGGGGTGCCAGGGCTGAGTGGGAGTCCTGGGCAGCCTTGGTTCCTCCCTCTGACAGGTCTCTCACTCCCTTGATGGGCTTCGCCCCTGTAGATGTGGATGAATGCCAGGCTGTCCCAGGCCTGTGCCAGGGGGGCAGCTGCATCAACACAGTGGGCTCTTTCGAGTGCCGCTGCCTGGCAGGACACCGGCTCAGTGAGGGCAGTGCCAAGTGTGAAGGTGGGTGATGGGGAGGGGGATGGCCTCTGTGTCCCGGACGGCTCGGGCGTGCCTATAGGAGGAGGAAGGGCAGAGCCGCAGAGGGCCCAGGCCTGACTGGGTGTTGTGCCTCAGATGTGGACGAGTGTCTCAGTGTGCCGGGTCTCTGCTCTGGAGGCATCTGTGCCAACACCATTGGGAGCTTCGTGTGCACCTGTCCCCATGGCTTTGTCAACAGCCTGGATGGCACCCGCTGCCTGGGTGAGCTGGGGCCAGGGCAGAGGGGGCTGGCAGGGTAGGAGACCAATAGGAGACAAGCCCCTCCATTGTTTCTCTCCACAACGGATATGCTCAGACCCTTCTAACCCTGTGATTTTCTAGACCCCAGTCTCCATTGCCTCTGCATTTATGTTCTCACAGAGTCCCATCTCTGAACCTCCCCTGGCCTTCCAGCTCCATGCCCTTTAGCTTTCTCATCCCATCAGCCTCTGGTTCTACCTTAATGTGCCTCTCAGCCTCTATGCCCCTCTGGCCCTCTAGCTGTCATCTCTATGCCCTTCTGACCCTCTAGCCTCCATCTCTGTGCCTCTCAGCCTCTCTGGTCCTCTGCCTCTATGCTCCCTCTTCTTACCCCCAAAGACTATCGAAGAGTAAGGACTTCTTCCCTCCCTCAAGTTTTGAGATTGGGAATCTGAGACCCAGAGAAGGGAGGAAATTTTCTTGAGCCAACTCAACCAGTCTGGGGCAGGTGGATACTCATACACAGCTTCCTGGATCCCTGGCCAGGGTGGGCTTCTCTGGGCTGTGTCCCCCACCCCTGGGTGGCCATCTTCTTTGAGGCTCAGCTCTCAGGCCGGGGGTCTCCTGGGCTGATGTTCCTTTTTGCTGTCTTGATGAGCAGGTCCACGGGCATTACAAGTTACTTGTGGTCATCAGAGCTGGCCAGAATATGAGACCCTGGGGGTGGGTGAAGTTCTGGTTTGGGAATAAGGGTTGGGCTGGGCCAGTGCCACCCTGGCCCCTCAGATGGGCCCCTTTTAGGCAAGAATATGGTGTTTTGAGTTCTGCCAGCATGCTGTGGGTAACTCCAGAGTTCCCAGACATCCACCTCTGAAGCCCATCATGACCAGCATGGGGGATGCCTCTGGGCACGTGCCTCCCAGCTACTAACTAGCAGAGCCTGGATTTGAGCCAAAGTCAAGTTGTTTGGAGCCAGGCCTATGCTTGAATGATCAGTTGAGTTGGTCAGAAACTCTGTGACTTTGGGCAGGTGGCTTTACCTCTCTTGGGTTCAGTTCCCTCATCTGTAGAATGGAGGTAATAACACTACCTAGTGGAAGAAAGGCCTGGTGAACTGCTTCCATGAAGATGACAGCTGAGAAAATCCTATGGAGTAGTTCTATTCTGTAACACATGGGATGGGTATGAGTCAGAATAGATGGCAAAGAGTTTGGTTTTGGTTTAATTTTGTGGAGTTGTGGTGAGGGTCCAACAAGGTAAAATTGATGAGGTGACTTGCACAGGGCTGGTTTGTAGTAGGCACTCAGTACAGATCCATGAAGATGGGGACAGCAGTGAGGTTGAACTAGGACATCTTTGCAAGACCTGCTGTGGTGGCATCATTGTCCTAGTTCTGACATTCTGTCTCTGTCTTCCCTTCTTGAGAGGCGGCTTGAGCAAATCACCTGGGGTTAGTGGTGGGGGGGGAGGGGTGGTCTGGTTTCCCATCCCCTTTCCCCTTCTGCAGCTGTGTGACCTTGAGCAAGTCTGTTGATCTCTGTGGCCCTTAGCTTCTCTCTGGGCCTGTGATCATGATGCTCAAGTCCAAAGGCCTGACTCCCATGCCAGCTCCCAGAGGGTCCCCAGGTGCACAGGGTGGGGGAGGTGGCATGTTGGCATGTTTTCCCAGCTTGGGGCAGGGCAGGGGCCCCTGGCTGTTAGCAGCCTTCCTGGCTGGTGGGTGGGGTTTCTCAACTTGGCCCCTGCCAAGGTTTGTGGGTTTTTAAGCCTAAAAATATGCTCTTTGAGTGCAGCCTGAGAAATTTGATCCCCACGTTAAGCTGTTGGACTTGAGGGCCTAGTGGGAAGCGACAGAGTGTCTGTGGTTCTCATACCCAGGAAACCTCTGCCTCAGTTTCCCAGGGGACCCCTCAAATTCCCAGCCCCTTGGGGTTCCCTGGAATGTGCAGGTTGAGCTGGTGAGGACACGCAGCCCAGCTCCTGGCATCCCTGTTCTGCACCCAGCCTGGCCTTCCACTCAGGCAGCACCCCCACTAAGTCGTGCGCTATGGTTGAATACCTGCAGCACCAGGGAGCTTACTTCCAGTGCCAGGTGTGAGTGTTGGACCCTTCTTGCCTGGAATGAGCCTGTGTTTTCCTCCTGTGATAATTAGGAGATCTTAGTAGTGAGAGGTGGCACTCCACAAGCACTGGTCATATGCCAGGACCTGGGCACTGCCCTTTTTGTCCTTGCAACATGCTTCAGAGGTGAGGTTGAGGCTCTAAACATCCCTACTCTGTGGGTGGGGAAACTGAGGCGTGGAAAGGCAGAAACCTGCCTTCCAGGTAGTGCTGGAGGAGCTGGTTTATGAGTCCAGTTCTGGTTGCTACGGCTGCCACCCCACTCTGTTCACCAGCCTTGCCTCCCATCCCCTTGCAGACCACCGGGCTGGCACCTGCTTCTCGGCATTGATTGGGGGCCACTGTGCCAGGGACCTTGCTGGCCACCATACTCGCAGGCAGTGTTGCTGTGATGTGGGCAGGTGCTGGGCAGCCGGCCGGACACCAGAGCTATGTCCTCTGCGGGGCTCCGGTGAGTGGCTGGGGGCTGCCTCCTTGCCTTGCCGCCATGGAGTTCCGAGCTCAAACCCTGCTTCCTCCCTCCAGATGAGTTCCAGCGACTGTGCACCCAGGGGCTCCCACTTCTGCCCTCCTACCCCGGCCCCTTCCCCGGCCTCCCAGGCTTTGGGTCCACCGGAAGGGGTCCTGGTCTTGGGGGGCCAGCACGACACAGCCAGCATGGCACCAACGGGCGTTGGGTCCCCAGCCTGGGCACCAGGGACTCTAACATTGGTGAGTCCTGGAGCTTTGGAGAAGGTGTTCAAGATCAGGGGTGGGGCTGGGCCTAGTAGGAGGACCTTGGGCTGGGAGTAGGGGTCCTGGTCTCAGGGGGTGATCAGGGCTTTGGAGTGGGGTTCCTGGCCAGTACAGTGGGCATGAAGGTACTGACAGTGGTCTAGGGGTGGGGTTAGATTGGGGGTCTGGACCTCAGAGTCAGGGTTTGGGTCTTGAGTTGGAAGGCTAGGCTTGGCTGAGTGTGAGATAAGAGAATCATAGCTGGGGAGGGGGTCTGGGCTTCTCTGAACCTGGAGTGGGGATCTGGGTCCAGGGGTGGGAATTTGGGCCCAAGATGGGGGTCTAACCTAGGGCAGGACTCTGGGCCTCAGGGGGAGCCTGCACAGAGGGTGAGTCTGATCTGGGGCAGGCTCACAGCCTCGAAGTGGGCATCTGGGTCCTAAGCTTGGATCCTGACTGGAGCCCCGGTCAGCTGGTGCTCAGGCCCCTGTGCCGGCCCCACCCACAGGCACTGCCACGCTGAACCAGACCATAGATATCTGCCGCCACTTCACCAACCTGTGCCTCAACGGCCGCTGCCGGCCCACCCCATCCAGCTACCAGTGCGAGTGCAATGTGGGCTTCACACAGGATGTTCGGGGAGAGTGCATCGGTGAGAGGGGCAGAGGAGTGTCGGTGGTCAGTGAGGGGGTGGGGGGCGTCGGTCAGGGGGTGGGGG